ACAACCAACAACAACAACGACGACGACGACGACGACGACGACGACGACGACGACGACAACAACAACAACAACAACTAGAACACTTAAACCCTCAACCCCCCTAAATCCCCAAATAATGTAAAAAAAACATCGTTACAGACACCATAAGACCTTCAAGTTTCAACAAACCCTGAACCCTGAAAAACAATAAATACAGAGGCCTGGTAACAGGACCCTGTACCCCGCGTAGCCCCTCTATACTTACACTCTTAGACAACCCAGCGCTTTGTCTCACTGCATTATGCGAAGGACCTATGCTAAACCCTGATATATCCCTATACACCCCTTTTCAGACACCCACAAATGAATCCTTTTCGGAATCCTTAGAGAACCCCTTATAGGAACCCTTTTTTGGAAGCCTTTTAGGCTCGAGGGCCCCTTAAAGGAACCTTTGAAGGAACCTGTCAAGAAACCTTTCAGGGCTCCTCTAGTTATGAGGGAACCTGGTAAAACCTCTTCAGGCCTCTCGAAGCTCGCCAATCCTCGAGGCAGCCTCAGAGAGACCATCCTCACCTGGGATTCCACGAGATTTCTTGGGTTTAGGGCTTAGGCATTCAAACCCTCGCCTGGTGGTAGCACGGGATTCTTGGGTGCTCGGATTCCTGCGGTTAGGTCAGGCAGGGATCAAGGCAACAGTCCACGTCAGCGGCCAGTAGCATTCTGGGGTTGCAGCATGACGTCTGCTTGACGCGGGTCCTGCTTTTCTGGGAAAGCATGCGCCTTTCGGTTACGACTTCTGCTGTTGGGTGGGGGCGCTCCACCCTCGGCAAATCATGCTTGACGGGAAATCTGCTTTTGGTGGTCCGGTAAGTCACGTGCCTTTCTTTCCATAGTTCCTGCTTTTGGTGGGGCACGATATGTCGTTGAGAACATTCAGGTGTACGACGACACGTCTTTCAAAACTCCAGCTTTCTGCGACTCTTGCCTTTGGAAAGGGGGCACCGCGCCTTCAAACGAATCGTGCTTGTATACAACACGTCGGATACGGATTCTTTAGAACCTAGATGCTTGAAAAGAAGTGGCTCTGGCAGCTTGCGGCAAACTTGTATTCCACTTTCTCCTCACCCTGACTGAGCAGAAATGGCAATGACATAAAGGCCCGATGCAAACACCCTTCGAACATACAAGTGTTTTTTTGTGTTTAGGGTCGGGTTCAGGGCTTAGGGTTTGGATTAGTGATTGAAAGATTGTAG